GGGGAAACACCGTCCGGCAGCCGGACCAAGGGCCCAAAATTCAGGAAGACAAACACCATCGCGAGAGTTCTGACTGCCCAATAAGCCGCGAGAACCCTCGGAGGTGCTGTCTGCCAATCACTGGATAGAGGCGGTGTTGGGCGTACCCAATTGGTTAAGCACGGGAAAGCTCGCGTCCCATTGGCCCCAGCTCCACCCCTTCGTCATGAATCCCCGCCCCCTTAAGGGGCTCCACCTCTCAGCCGAGAAGGTGGGGAGTAGGGGAGGGAAGGCCTATTTTACTCTCAGTTCCGTGCACCGGAGATCAGGTTTCCGGAGTAGAACCCTTAACTCTTCTCCTGTGGCATTTTAGTACCATTTAACGCTCAGATTCTAACATGTTCTGTCTCATTCCTAATCTCAGCCTTCTATCCTGTGTTCTCAAACTGACCCAGTCCTAGGCAGGGAGATGATTTTTACCTGTGCTTGGGAGAAAGCAGGCTACCATGGACCTTAACAAGTTAAAGATATTTCTCTAAGAGCTTTTTCATCTCAACATCTACGTATTGCTCTGCATAATAGGCAATAAGAATTGCTTTATTTCATTAAAACAGTCACTAGCCCCCTTGCGCATTAACTCATGAAATCATCTAAATAATCGTCAATGAAGTAGGTATGTTAAAATATTTTTCAAGGGAAGAAACGAGAAACAGGGAAATTTAGTGACCTGAAATGTATTCTGTCTTTTTGTCCCTTTCTTCCTTACTTTAATTCGGGACTTCTTAACTGCTGGATTACTTCTACAAACAGCCGCTTAACTCCTCTCCTTGCCATTCTCTACAAAGCCATGGATTAATCTTCCTAATACAAATCTGATCATTCTTAAATCCTCAGATCTCTGAAGTGGCAAATCCTTCTGTGGCTCCAAATTGCCACTCTGGCAGAGAGTGCTGCTTATTGACATATACCTGTAAACACACAAATCATGCTGGGTACATACCTAGAAATGGAATTGTTGGATCATAATTTGTGCCATGTTCAAATTTAGTAGATGTTTTAAAGCAGTTTTAAAAGCAGTTTTCCAAAGTGTTTACACAAATTTACACTCCGATCAGCAATCCATCAGCGTTCCAGTCGTTCCAG